AAACCCTACTTTGAAACTCTAGCCTTTAGTTGAAACGCTAAATGACACCTCGTACCTTAATTTGAAACCCAAACAAATATTAGAAACCCTCATCCCTATTTGTAAGATTACCTTGAATTTGAAACCCTACCCAAGGTGTGAAACCCTGCTTTGAAAGCATAAACCCAGTTTGAAACCCCAAGTGGAAAGCCCAACGGGCGCTGGAAAGCCCACCTCGGCCTCTTCGTGGTGTTCCACGAGCTGCTGCGGCGTCATCCCGTGCAGGTTACACAGCTTGGACTTGACCATGATGGGAATTTGCCCGAGCACCTGCTTGATGATCCCTTTTGGAACGCCGTCCACCGACCAGCTCACGTCCGCCTGGATGCATGCAAAGTCGCAGGTAAAAAATTAGGATACTAAGGATTAACCCGCTTGTACAGTATTCGCATTTTTTAAAAATTGCCCGCCTTTTTTCCATGCCTATGTCACTGTGCGGCGGCGCCCACGTCACTCACCACTATCTTGCCCTTGTACGAGCATCGCCTGCCGCGACACTCTGCCGGGAAGACCCTCATCTCTCGGCACACGCTGGACTTGGACACGGCTGGCGGGTGCACGACGGCCTCCACGAACGCCAGGCCGATGCGCTCGCCGTTCAGCATGAACTCCAGCGGCGGGATGGCCTGATGACACGCCCACAGTCGCTTCGTTAGGTACGACGCAGCTTCACGCGGTATTGACGCCGGCACACGTCATTCGTGTTCAGTGGAGGAAATTTACATTCAAACTCGAATCCTGGCTTGAAACGGTCTTAAAAGCTTTCCTTGAATCACGGACCCAGTCTTGACACCCGACTTTTTGAGAACCCCAAGGCAAGTTTGAATCGTAATCATAATTAAGCCCGAACACCCACACCCTGCCCGTTTTATGAAAACCTAATTTGCGAAATTGACCTGTACAGTTTACTTTAATAATACATTTACGGGTTAAGTATAAGTTGTATAAATAAGGGCTTCATTAAAAATATTGTGTTTAGAAGAGTAAAGTTAGTTAGTTCAGTGTGTGAGACCTGCACAACGCGGCTGAGCCCATCGCCGATGGCATGGTCGAAGGAGTCAATGTGCGTTTTGACCAAGTCCTGCACAGCGCCACATTGGCTCTGTTTGAGCACACCGAAGCTTCCATCCGTGAGGTTCTTCAAACTCGGACCTTCGGCCACATCGTTCCATGCATCCGAGTCGTCCATGCTTGTTTACCACACGTGCGAGCTCGCCCCGGAAGTGCCGATTACGGAAGCCCAAAGCTGCAAATGCGAATTTTGAAATCACATTTGCGTCAGTATTACTTGCACTACAAAAAGTAAAAGAAAATATTAAATATTATAAGAAAATGTGGTTTAGACACTTAGTAATGTGGCAAATATAACTTTCAAGTGCCGTTGCAAATCACTTCTGTGTCGTTTGTCCCAATGTGACTGCCGTACATGCTTATCTTCCGCTTACGGAAGCCGAAACTGTCCTTCGCTTTTGTAATTGTGCTCCACACATTTTCTGTTTTAATTGTTTTTTTTTCCATATTAATAAGTGTGGTAAAAAATAACCAACATTGTAGTAGCTACTTTGTCCGAATAACAATAATACCCTACAGTTAACAAATACATACATTGTGATCTCCCGCCTTGTTTGTCGTGCGCTTTTTGGTGGGCACACAAACAAGTTTGACTAAGTAACATACACCTTATAAAGTAAATAACACATATACCTGGCAAAAAAGACATAACTTTGGGATAAATAAAAGTCTGACATCACTGACAACTTGCTAGTGATTCTTTATTCGTCGCCATGTTTTGAACACAAGATGGCGGTAATGTACAAAATGAAAAGGAAGGAGACCATTGTACTTACTAATTTTTATTTTTATATTATAATTTTAAATAGTACACTTTTTTGATTTTGCTTTCATTTCATCACCGGGTTTTACTTAAAACTGAAGAGAAACACTTAATAACATTTTTCGAGTTTCGGGAAAAAATAACAGATTCTACTTTTGCGGTCATTTTTGAAGGTCCTTATATGTCACCAAGATACTGATAAGCGGACTCGTGAAAATTGTTGCCCCATGACATGACCGTTTCAGACCGTATCCTTTGTTTGAAAACATCACACTGTTTTGAAAGTCAAAACGTGACATGAAAAAATTGCCCTTGTTTAAAACATCTTGCTGTCAGACAGACTGAAAGTTGGGGGATTTGTGCAATTTTAAAACAATGACGATTATTCAATGATCAAATTAGTTGGTAGCTAACTTGATCATCCATTAGTTGCTGATTCCTTCATTCATTTTTTTGCAGCTCTAATCCAAAACGTTTTCCGATGGCGTCAAGACGTCAAGTGACGTCATTGCTGCGCTCCACGTTGTCGCCCGTAGCGACTTTGGCGAGCGTGTTGCTTCAAGTTAGCCACTCGTCAACATTCCACAGAGATCTAGCCACGATGATTAATCATAATTAATGCGGCAGAAACACGCAAACGTAACTTCTTTCTATTTTTTCTTGTTCTTCTCCCGTTGTCATATTTTTTCAAATACTGTATGTAGAAGCGCACATCTCCCGGGAAACTCCTTCTGCTCATTGTGTGCCCGTCGCTCACGTTCCAGAGATGTGGATGACCGAGTGACGCCATCACGCTGGTTGGGGCCTCACGATCTCTCTCCACTTTGCCATTAAGAAAATAATAATACAGTAATTGTATTTTTGTGTAGTTGTAACTTTTATGAGAAACCACTTTATAAAACCAAAATCACAATTTCTATAAAAATTTTATTCTTGTGCTTGTACAATTTTTTTTCACCAAGTCAAGACATTTTCATCAAAATATTATGCTGTAAAGTCATAATTTACTTCTCGTTCGAAAAATCGAACATGAATAAAATGCAATTTTATTTATGTGAAGGCACAAATATTTTGTACTCGTAATATTATTACTTTGTTTTAAGGTCACCAAAATGTTCTAAATTTGTTTAGCTGTCTGCGGGTTGTCAAGTAAAACTCTAACCCCAAACCCCTAAACCTAACCCTAAACCTTTTCTGAGTAGTCTGTGCGCTTTGCTGCATTATATTGAGTTTGGTGCAAAACACTTTGATTAATTGAATTTACCAAGACAACAGGGGGCGCTACAACCCCAAACTATCTGTTCATTTGAGCCCACATTTCTTCCTAACTTTATTTTGAATAAACTTTACTTTCAAGAAATTGCATCAAACGCTGGAGTGGAGCGCACGGGCTTTCTCCGCCGCGAATTGGAATCCTTGTTTGGGCAACTGAATGTTATTCCAATAATGTCAGTCATCCATAGATGGAGTGACAGGTGACCCACGTCAGGAATGTGGCATCACAGAGAACAACAGACACAAAGAAAGTTCCGCAAAAAGTCCAAAGCGGCAGAACAGGTGTCCTCTATTAAAAGAAGGCCGTTGACCCGGTCGGTGTCGTGAAGACGGCGCGCACAAACACAAAGGAGGCTTCAGCTTCAGCTTTGGTGGTCTCCGCAGCGAAGGAGCTCCCTTCCCTGGCCTCGGCTCTTCTTTCATCTTGCCTCCGCCACCGGGGTGTTTATTCATTCGGTCATCTCGGTTACACCGGATGGCCGCCTCCCGATACTAGATACCATATTGGGCAGATACCGGTTTTATTTGAAGGTATACTTTACTTTGGAGTCAGCCAATCTTCCATTCAGCGGCCCCAGTTGGTCCTGAATGCTGCTGCTCACCTCTTGACTGGCACTCGTAAGAGGGAGCGCATCACTCCTACTCTGGCATTCCTTCACTGGCTCCCAATGTATTTTAGAGTTCTTCTTAATATCCGATTATTTGGTTTCAATTCTTTAAATGGTATCCCCCCCCCACCTTACATCTCAAGTATGAATTTTTTTTTTGCTTGAGCGGCCTTGAAAGTGGAGCCTCTCCAGACTGTGCATTAGTTGTTCCACCTGTAGGATTGGCCATCCCGGGGTGGTCCTCGATGGGCTGGCCGGAATGAAAATGAGGCGACCCGCTGGGGGTCGTGGCCTCCACATGTGTGGTGGCACACTGACAACTACTGAGTGTCGTTGCCCTCATGTTTGGAGAAGAAGCTCCATATAGACGACGTATCTCGAATACCGTGTACCCAGAGTAGTACTAGAGTACTGTGTATCTGGAGTACTCATTCCAGTGTGCCCGCCTTGGACACCTGGGGGCAGTATAAAACACACATACACCTATACTGTACATACAGCTGATTTCAGCTCCTTAGTATGTCACTAAGTTTGGTCGTTCTTCGCAGAGGATAAAAAATATATTACCGTGAATATTTTTTTGTCGCCCATTACCAAATGCCCTGTGGACCAGTACCCCTGTGGTTGGTGATGCCTGACCTGGAGGACTACACAACTAATTAGGTGTCCTCCGAATGCACTTTTTTTTCCGGGCCGGGGGGAAAAAAGATTCTTTCCGTGCCCCTTCGGTCGTCACGCTCCGGCTGACTCGGCCCATACAAGGAAGCTGCCGAAGCTTTGAGGCTTTGAGGCTCTGAGCAGCAATCAGGAGACATGAAAAGATTCTGCACTACTTTGGAGTCCATCTTGATAAAAGATGAGCATGTGATATTTTTTTTTCCTGACACGCAATTATATTGATGGAGAACATGCCAAGCGCCTGATAAATGCGTGTACACAACACACATGTCAGACTTGACAAAAAAAAAGATCCATTTTGTTAACGTGGTCACCAAAAAACCACCTAATGTCAGAATAGTTGGAATGTTAAGACACTAAAGTCGAGTTAAAAAAAAAAGTAGTGTGATAAGAAAAAAAAAAGGGGTCCTCTGAAATGTAAAACTGGTAACGTTGCAAGGCTAAAATAATACATCCAAATTCACTTTACGACGCATGCGTGCCAACTGCAAACGTTTGTTTTCTTCACAACCGCACACACGCGCGCGCACACGACGACTCGCAAGGACGAGCACGAGTGTCTCTGCGCGGCCACGCGACTGTGAAGTGTGCGCGCACGCAGCGGCTGCACGTCGCGCGCAGCGAAGCCTCGCAGGAGCGCGCACGCACGCACGGGCGCGTGGATTCGGAGCTGCGTCCATGATCTGCGGGAGCGCGAAGGTGCGGACAGGTAAGACGCCGATCACTGCGACGCGATCAAAGACGCCAGTGACGTCATCTCAAATCTCGAACACGCGTCGGTAAAGCCGGAGAACATTCGAGAAGCATTCGAAAGTTGTCGTGACGGGGTCCATTCTGGGACCCTAAATATGCCCCGTGCGTGTTTTTTTTTTTTTAATTCTTTAAGTGTCAAAGTAGAAGCGATTTTAACTGATTTCTGCCAGGCAGCTGCGATTTGATTGAGGAGGAAACACGTCCAAACTTTTTCTGCACGTGTATAGCTTATAAAGTGGCCTCTCGTGGTTGAAGCGGTGGTTCACATCATAATCAGAATGTCTAAAATGGTCAAAAATGTATTGGCGAGAACTGGACATTATTTTTGTGGATTCTCAAATGATCTCAAGGATTACGTGTGTCAGATGTCGCGACTTGAGATAAATATTATGACTAGAAACAACATTCCATGCTGCACTGCATGTTTCTCGAGCCTAGAATTCAGACAATTTCAGTTTTCTCTCCCCAAAAATAAAATAAAAAAGGAAAATGAACCTATTTTAAATCATCACACCATAAAATGTATTGTACACAATAACGAAATAGAAATTGTATTCCATGTTTAAAGAAAATGTCACGTGCTTGAAAAGTTAACGAGGGGAGACTGGTCGCTTGATGTCACATTTTTTTTTTACGCTCTTACCTATTTCTTGGAATCAACGGGGAAAGAAAGAAGAAGATTCGTGTCAGATGAAAGACTGAAGTCCCACGTATCCATTTTGCATTGGTGTCATTTTCATATTTTGTGTAGGTGCCGAGTTATCAGCAATCAAATATTGAGTGTCAACACCCGACAGATGCATTTATAAACGCTCAAACCAAACCTGACAAGACAACCAATGTCTTCCCTATAGTCGGACTCATCATCCGAACAGCCATTGTGACGTACGTCAATCGATTTGGCAAACGTCCATTTTTCCTCGGCCCATTCTGCGTGACAACTAAGCCGAAAATGATGGACACACGTCCCCCCTCCCCTAATACCATCTCCACTTTAAAGTTAACTTAGAACAACGACTGAGGTAAGACAAGATGCCTTCATCTCTCCTCAAACAAGTGCAAACGTATCACCGCTCGAACTTTTATCTGGAAAATATACAATATATAAAATACATCAAGTAACTTTTTTTTTTAACTTTCCGTTATCCAAAATGGTTAATCGGCTCTCATCTTAGCCCATAATGTGCTACTCTCAGGACACCCCCCCCCGCCCCCCCTGACCATAAGCAGGAAGAAAACTCGTATTCCAACGTGTATTTGCGCCCTCTGGTGGAGAAGCAACGTCACAACGTACCCATGTGACAAGCCTCGATCTTGGACAACTGAACAGAACTTCAAAACCCACAAGCAAACAAACAAGCGTGAAAGGGAACGTTTTTGAAAAGTATTAAATGTGCTTTACACGAAATGTATTGTACTGGACCGAAAAAAAAAGTTTCAACAAGAAATATAAGGGGGGAAAAAATAATGATTCAATTAACATTACATTACATTACACGTCAAAGTGAACTAAAGATATGAAATTGTAATTTTGTGATATGATCGTCATTTTGTGATTAGATTAAAGCAGATTTTTTACAAGAGAAAAAATGGTTACGTCATGTTATGAAAGAAAAGTTCAATTTATCAAAAAATAGTGGTAACATCACAAGAATATTTTTGGAGATCTATTTGGAGAGACAAGCAGCATGGTCACGTCATGCAAACACTCACCATTTGTGGCGTGTCATAATTCCGAGTAATCCTGCTGGCATTCCTGCTGCCCTCGTTATGATCGTCGTAATTTTTGTCTTTCAGATGGAAAACGTCGGTGGAGACACAAGACCTCACACAGCCGGCATCAGCCCAGGAACTGGAAGGTCAGGAATGTGCGATGGTGAAGCAGGCACAGCGCAGGCTTGCTTGCCAAAGTACGATTGACAGAATCAAGTCATATTTTAAGAGAAAAAGTTGGAATTTTATGAGCCAGCAAAGTGTCGATAATAAAGTCAGAATGTCACGTGACGAGTTAGAATATTGTGAATATAAATCCACATGATTAAAAAAGCAGCATAAAATTAAGTGAACAGTCATATCCGACGATTGAAAAAAAAATGCAGTGTTGAGAATAGTGATAGTTTACGAAAAAAAATCAGAATGTCACGAACGTAGTTGTAATGTTCGGCATATAAACTCACAATTGACAAGAAAAATGCTCAGGTGGCATGTCATGCGAATAACGTCATATTTTACGGCGAGAAGTCGCAAAGTGTCAAGAATCGCAATATTTTACGAAAAAGGTTGAAATGGCACGAGAATAGTTGTCATGCCACAAGATGTCGCATAATGATGGCCATCAACATGAATTGAAAACAGTTTTGTGGATTATTTCACGTGCAGTGGTTGAGCGTGAAGCATCGTTTCCGTGGCGATGCGACCGCACGGGCGCTGGCTTCAGTAGCGGTCGTAAAATATTCAGCACCAGCGACCGCGTGTCCGGTGACAATCGAGCGGCTGCACTTTCCGGCCTGTCTAGTGTGTCACCGTAAAAGACACGCTCAACACAACACACAGCTGTCTTCTGACTGCAAGGAAACGAATGTTCATGTGGAGTTTGCTGGCGCCATCTAGCGGTGGGGGCTCTGGAGCGCACTCATATGTATCTCACGCCCCCCCCAAAAAATAATTATAACAATAAATAAAATAAATAAATCAGCCAAGTAACAGCTTGCTTCTCCACAATCTCGTACGGTCTCGTTTCGTCGCTGCTACGGCTTCACGGGCGTCCATTTTGTTTGCGTCAGGTGATGCTGTGGCTGATGGCAGCGTTGCTCGCCTTGGCGGAGGACGTGTTGTCTGAGGAGGACGGTCCAGAAAACCAGCTGAAACCACACCGGCATGTCCTCGGGCGGCCCCCCTGGAGGCCTTCTGCACCGGAGACCCGAGACCACATCGCCTCGCTGTGGCCGGAAGCCCTCGGTACAATTTCTTTGCGAGACTTTGCGAGCGATAGGCGTGTTCACCCAATTTGGTGGCGACGGTTGAAACCGGTATTGGGGAATTGTTTCCTAACTTTTTAGGGGCCGCTACTGAGCATAGCAGACGTGGCCGCGCCTCTCCACTGGCTTTTTCTTTCGGCCATTTATCCAACTCTGGTGCTAAGCTAACCACGACGATGCGCTGGTGCTAGGGAGCATCTTAATATAGTCCAGTTACAGTATATGGACCTTCTCAAGGCCGAGCTCGGGTCACCGGAGCCCGTGTAAAAATAAGCCAGCCTGCCCGACCACGCAGCATCCTTCGAAAAAAACCCGTCAACACAAACACTCCATCATCTGATTAGTTAAGACAAGTATGGTGGACCCCCCCCCACTGCTACTCGAAGTGGACAAGTCTGCGAAAATCTGCGTCTAATATGTATTCCTCTGCCCTCGAATATTACTGCGGCATGCTGAGGAGCTGTGACCACCTTGATGTGTAGCCCTAAGTCCGTGTTCTACTGCCCCCAGGTGGCCACGGAGGCAGCGCCGCATTAGACAAAAATCAATCAACGCGATCGGCGTGCACTCAAATGATTTTTGTTGGCGGTTATACAGTCGCAGCTCACTGAGCGTGACGGGGAAACATGAAAATATTTCTGTGCAATTATGACATTACGCGCGTGTGCCTGGGTGCGTGTCTGAACGTGGTTGCGCGATCCAGCGACTCGTTCCCCTGGGGAACATTTCGACAAATGTGTGCCTGCTGTTGATTACAGTACAAGTGTTCCTGACGTAAACACGGTGGGGGGGGGGGCATGAACTGACAAGCAATGCCTTGTGGTTCTTAGAGAAAGTGACGCCAAGACAACCGCAAATTTATATATATATATATATATATATATATATAGAAAGGTGTATAAATAGATATATATATATTTCATTTTTCATTGAATGGTTAATTTTAAAAATGGTTCATGATTTTATTAACATTTGGATATTTTATTTCTTTTTTCTGTTTAATATTTTGCATTATTAAAAAATAGTCCAATTTTCCAATAGCTAGTTTTAAATGGTTTATTTTTACATTTACTGTATGATACATTTGTATTATGTTCTAATAATCTTCCACATTTGACGTTTTCACTTAAAAGTTTGCATTATCTTATAAAAATATGAATTACATTTTTTCCCATGTCTAATTTAAAAAATTTTCCCCACATGTTATTTTTTTAGAAGCGTGGACGCCACTCCAGGACGCGGACGCCGCTCGGAGCCGGTGGCGCCGCTCCCCTCGCGACGGCAAAGCGCCGACATCCCGCAGGAAGCCAAAGCGGCCCAAGGGCAGCGCGTCGTGCCGTGTGGAGAAGCGTCAGACGCGCGTCCGCGAGCTGGGCCTGGGCTACGACTCGGACGAGATCGTCCTGTTCAAGTACTGCGTGGGCTCGTGCCGCCCCGCGCGTCGGAACTACGACCTGGCGCTGGGGGCCCTGGCGGCGCGGGGCGCCATCTCGGCCCGCAAGGTCAGCGGCCGGCCGTGCTGCAGGCCCACCCGCTACGAGACCGTGTCCTTCATGGACGCTCGCGCCATGTGGCAGACCATCCGGTGGCTCTCGGCCGCCGACTGCGGCTGCGTGGGCTGAGCGATCGCCTCGACGATGTGTCGATGTCACCGTGAGGACCCGCCGGTGGCCTGGGAATCCAAGCCGGAACCTTCGGGTGTGCGCCGCCGGCGCCGAGATACCCCCAAGAGAGCCTTAACTTGGGACTTGGGAGTTTTTTGGAACGATCTACATTGAGGTGTGGCTCAAAGGAAGACCCCGCTAAAGTCGTACTTTGAAGAAGTACTGGAAATTGTGCAGAGTGGAGCTCGTACCATGTCAAAACTTTCTGGCCACAGATGATTGCCAACTGGTAATCACAGACACTTCTATCGACTACAACACATAATCTGCGAATACTCGACATTCTTTGTTGGGGTGTAAAATGCCCATACTTGTTTGACTTGCCGTCACAATTTTCCCCTCAGACCGTCAAGTGTACTCACGACCTGGGCTGCTCTTCGATCTGAAGTGGGGCATCGCTGCCATCTACTGGCGCTCGTGCGTCAGCAAAGTTGTTTCCAAGCTTGACATTCACAGTGGAGCAGAATCAGGCGCTCCTGTTGAAAAACGGACATGTCATGTACTGTATGTAACATATGTATATAACGTATATTCGTATAAAATGTAGAGGAGCGTATCCGTCAATGGCAGCAAATGACTCAATGGTAGAAAACGCTTTTTGAGCAGCGTAACAAATATCAGGCGGGGCAGCTTTTCCATCTGTTACCTCCGCTTCGGATTTTCACACTGCTGGCGTGTACCCAGCCGGCTTTTGTTCTGTATGAATGGCATCGAAACGGCACAACAGTTGTCTGGCTCAGAGCCAGTTGTTGCAAGATCCTCGTGCACAGGCCTCTGGTAGCCACAAACGGAAAAATGCGACGGCACCGATGTGACGATTTTGTGACACGTCAGTATGAAAGACGCCGTATTTTTTTCTTCTTGTTTTTATGATGTTCCAGATGAACGAGACCTAAACTGAATGACAGTTTTGTAGCTTCGAAGTTAGCATCAGAACAAGACATTTAAAAGCAAAGTAAATGTTTTTTTCCCCCCTAAAATCACGAAAAGGAACGTACAGAGCGAGAGGAAAAATGGATTTTAGAAATCCTTTAAAAGACCTTCATCATAGGTGAGGGGAAAAAGTCTAGTTTTTAGCCTGGAGTTAAAAGTTCTGTTTGCATTTATTCCAGTTGTGTGCAGCACGAGAGCTTGCCCCAAGTCTGCTTACCTCAGAATCCGAGTGGCTTTATATTCAATTTGCATTTCTTTCATGTATTCAGGACCTAAAACCAAAACGGCGATGTTGAAGGTGGTTGGAGCAAGTTCAGGACCAAAAGCACTTTGCAAACTTGTCTCCTGCTTGTTTTTCCGACGGCGGTAAAATGTTGCCACCAAGGTCAAGGCAAGCATAGCATGCCACTGACATGTCACACACACACACACACACACACACACACACGCACACACACACACACACACACACACACACACACACACACACACACAAACACTACTGTAGCGCTGTTTACACGACGACACGGTGTTGTGGGATGCCACGGACAAATATAGGCGTGAGCCAAGCGTTCTTTAAAGTGACGGCTTTTCAACACGCCGTTTAATTTTAGACGAGCTGAGACGCGACACCATTCAAAAGCATCGTCTTGGCATAACAAAGCACGCCACCGCCGTTCGCTCGATGGCACATCCGGAAATCGCACTAAAAGATTTCGGATGGACGAAAATAGGCCACAACAGGTGGAGGCCAAAATAACAGCGCAGTTCGTACCTCGGTGTGAAGGTTAACATTTGAGCAACGCTTAATCGCCAATCACAGCTTCAAGGATGCTTTTTCGGGAACGTGCACGTAACAATCAATAGTTCGCCTTCTTTTTCTGAGCCGGAAAAGTGCAGCAGGAAGCGTGTGAATGGTCTGAATGCTTACGTTCTTAAACCATCCGTGCCTTCATGGTATGCAAATGATATTTTTTTTTATGTAAAAGTGAAAGTACACAACAACGGTGTGACTTCTTTTTAAGAAACACAAAAATGTGATGAAAAAAAGCAATGTTCGAACATGATGTAAAAGAGAATCAATTTTCTTTTTTTGAAAAGTTAGATATGAATAATTTATTTGCTGTTTTTTTTTTAAAGAAAGTGCAACAGTAACAGTTTTAACAGTTCTGCGCCATAAAATCAACAATACCTTCAGTTATATGTACTTTATAAACGATTAAATATTTTCTTTTTAGGAAAGTGCCTTAGTCGTGTTGACATAACAAAGCCATCACGCATGACTAAAATAAAAACAATATTTTTTTTTAAACTGCAGATTAAAAAAAAAGTCACTGACAGTACCTCGTTTTCTCAAGTCAAGTTACAACTTTTCATGTACTGTATCATTAAGAGAAAAGGCCTCAGGAAAATTGTTTGATCGTGTTTCACGTTGTTTGAAGTCATTCTCACTCAACACGAGTGCAATCCCATTTAACATCTGATCTACGTATCACTTTTTTGGGGTCGCTTAAATCCCTCGCAATGGAGCAAACATATTCTTGAAGGCCCCATGATTGAGTTTTTGGTCAGGAGTCTGTCAAATGTAGAGTTTGACTACTGCAGAAAAATGAAATGTACAGTATTGGACAAAATCGTCTCTATGCTAAGCTAGCCTTAACACTTTCATCATGTCTTAAAAATGAAAACGGTCGAGAAAGCTCCTCTTCTATGCTATGCTATGCATCACCTCGACTTTTACTGTACATAAAACATATTTATTCTATAAATTATTTTATTTATTCGTCAGTTGCACTCATCATGACGACGGGATATTTATGAGACATGTATACAAAGTATTTAGCACCCCCCAACACACACACGCACACACACATTTTTAAAATACATTGGTCGTTCTGAAATGAGTCACAAAGTTTGTTTTTCCTCCTGTTTGCATTTATTCCAGTTGTGTGCAGCACGAGAGCTTGCCCCAAGTCTGCTTACCTCAGAATCCGAGTGGCTTTATATTCAATTTGCATTTCTTTCATGTATTCAGGACCTAAAACCAAAACGGCGATGTTGAAGGTGGTTGGAGCAAGTTCAGGACCAAAAGCACTTTGCAAACTTGTCTCCTGCTTGTTTTTCCGACGGCGGTAAAATGTTGCCACCAAGGTCAAGGCAAGCATAGCATGCCACTGACATGTCACACACACACACACACACACACACACACACGCACACACACACACACACACACACACACACACACACACACACAAACACACACACACACACACACACACACACGCACACACACACACACACACACACACACACACACACACACACACACACAAACACTACTGTAGCGCTGTTTACACGACGACACGGTGTTGTGGGATGCCACGGACAAATATAGGCGTGAGCCAAGCGTTCTTTAAAGTGACGGCTTTTCAACACGCCGTTTAATTTTAGACGAGCTGAGACGCGACACCATTCAAAAGCATCGTCTTGGCATAACAAAGCACGCCACCGCCGTTCGCTCGATGGCACATCCGGAAATCGCACTAAAAGATTTCGGATGGACGAAAATAGGCCACAACAGGTGGAGGCCAAAATAACAGCGCAGTTCGTACCTCGGTGTGAAGGTTAACATTTGAGCAACGCTTAATCGCCAATCACAGCTTCAAGGATGCTTTTTCGGGAACGTGCACGTAACAATCAATAGTTCGCCTTCTTTTTCTGAGCCGGAAAAGTGCAGCAGGAAGCGTGTGAATGGTCTGAATGCTTACGTTCTTAAACCATCCGTGCCTTCATGGTATGCAAATGATATTTTTTTTTATGTAAAAGTGAAAGTACACAACAACGGTGTGACTTCTTTTTAAGAAACACAAAAATGTGATGAAAAAAAGCAATGTTCGAACATGATGTAAAAGAGAATCAATTTTCTTTTTTTGAAAAGTTAGATATGAATAATTTATTTGCTGTTTTTTTTTTAAAGAAAGTGCAACAGTAACAGTTTTAACAGTTCTGCGCCATAAAATCAACAATACCTTCAGTTATATGTACTTTATAAACGATTAAATATTTTCTTTTTAGGAAAGTGCCTTAGTCGTGTTGACATAACAAAGCCATCACGCATGACTAAAATAAAAACAATATTTTTTTTTAAACTGCAGATTAAAAAAAAAGTCACTGACAGTACCTCGTTTTCTCAAGTCAAGTTACAACTTTTCATGTACTGTATCATTAAGAGAAAAGGCCTCAGGAAAATTGTTTGATCGTGTTTCACGTTGTTTGAAGTCATTCTCACTCAACACGAGTGCAATCCCATTTAACATCTGATCTACGTATCACTTTTTTGGGGTCGCTTAAATCCCTCGCAATGGAGCAAACATATTCTTGAAGGCCCCATGATTGAGTTTTTGGTCAGGAGTCTGTCAAATGTAGAGTTTGACTACTGCAGAAAAATGAAATGTACAGTATTGGACAAAATCGTCTCTATGCTAAGCTAGCCTTAACACTTTCATCATGTCTTAAAAATGAAAACGGTCGAGAAAGCTCCTCTTCTATGCTATGCTATGCATCACCTCGACTTTTACTGTACATAAAACATATTTATTCTATAAATTATTTTATTTATTCGTCAGTTGCACTCATCATGACGACGGGATATTTATGAGACATGTATACAAAGTATTTAGCACCCCCCAACACACACACGAGCTAGCCTTAACACTTTCATCATGTCTTAAAAATGAAAACGGTCGAGAAAGCTCCTCTTCTATGCTATGCTATGCATCACCTCGACTTTTACTGTACATAAAACATATTTATTCTATAAATTATTTTATTTATTCGTCAGTTGCACTCATCATGACGACGGGATATTTATGAGACATGTATACAAAGTATTTAGCACCCCCCAACACACACACGCACACACACATTTTTAAAATACATTGGTCGTTCTGAAATGAGTCACAAAGTTTGTTTTTCCTCTTAAGCTTGGCTTGTTGGAGTGTGAAGAAGTCGCCTTCACCAATCTCGATCGTGTGTCGACGTGTTGTAGTTTATTGACTGTCAGTGGGACGTCAGCGCAATAACACACTAAGGGAATAATAAAAGCAACCCATAAATCGATGTAATTGTTGTTTTTGTCTATTCATTCGTCCGAGTAACGATTTTATTGCACAGGAAATTGTTTTTGAGATGGGACAAGGCTTTCTATCATAAACTGTAATGCAATGGAATCACTATTTTTGTAACTTTTGTACACATTTTGTACACAGTAAAGTATTTTAAAAGTGTTCTGGAGAGGGTGTTTTTATTTCTTGTTGAGGTCTGCTATTTCCGTTTTATCAGAAATATGTTTGTTAAATGGGAAACGGTGCTGATTTTCATTTTGATGTCATTACCTGTGTTGTTTTACTTTGGATCAGGGGCACACTAACGTCACCAGTAGCAGTAATTCTCATTTTCAATGTTGGTGAACCCTGCGCTACATTTTTCTCCGTTTAGTATTATTCGCTGGATATTTCTTATTAAAAGATCAAATGACTGAAAGTTTGTGTAAACTTAAATAATGGACAATACTGACATCTAGTGGACAAACTAAAAAAAACGCCTGCTCAGGTTTGTGTTGAAAATGAAAGTTTAAATAAAATATTGATTTGATAATAGCCACTAATTTACCATGAAGGTGGAAGAATGATAAGAAATACGCCACGTATTTTATTGTTTGTTCCTATTTACTCGTTCAGTGATTATGTCAGACCAAGGACGGATGTGCCATTTTGATTTTGGTAAGGGGGTGTTACCGGGATGAACCATTAACTACAAAGTGATTAAAAGGATTCGCTTGTGGCGAAAACTAAATTAAGACAGCTTCGTTGTCTGCATTAAAAATATAACAGCGCTAATAATTGAGTAATGAAGTGAGTGTTGTTTTTTAAAAAAAAATTAACCAATTTGGCAAGAATGTTTGCGCCTTCGCACTTGCCGTAGTTGTTTAGCGCGCAGTTTGAGAGACAGCGTCGCATTCACGGGCTGTCATTTGTTTCGGGAGTTACCTGCGAATATCTGTAAAGTGTGAAATTACAGTATTTCCAAAGTCAAGTCACGCGTCGGTTTGGGGGGCGGGGGTCAAAGAGTCTCATCGGAGACCCATCCATGCGCTGGTAAGGATGCTAGCGGACTAGTTTAGAGCCGAAAAGCGGCGACGGCGACATAACAAGAGCAAACATGGTAAGTTGTAACAAAGCAGATGAATGATTGTACCTTTAAAGTCTCCACTAAATTGACATGTTAAGTTTTGCATCTTGTCTCGTCGCCACTCAGAGAAGAAGTTTGGCTCCCAGTCAGGTCGCTAAACGGAAGCAAGCCGACGATGAGGAGGACGAAGAGTGGACGTGTGCGGCGGTCAGTGAGCTTGTTGTCGCCAGTAACAGCAACGTTGCAAGACTGCCACACTTTCGTTCCTTTTTTTTGTGATTAACTGATGAATCACGTTGAAATGAACGGTTTTAAAAAAATATATATATCCCTTTATTGAAAAACGGGACATAATTTCAAGCAAATTGTCCTATTACACCTATTTTAATATAAAATGCAATTCTTTTCAAAGGTTTATAATTACATAGAGTTGCCACAAGATGGCGGAAAAGCACTGCTTTTCCCTAAATGAAGCGCCTCAATTTACTTCAACCTCGTTCCAAGCAGTCAAGCATTTTTTTCCCCATTCAAAGCATACAGCAAACTTAACTCATTTTTCTGTGATCGGTGTCTTCTCACATTTTCTGCGAGGGTGCCTTGTTACTGACATGATATGTGTGTTGCTTTTAATGTTCGGTAAAGGCGTGTCTGCGCCGAGTGAAAGTTGTGATTGACCGGTGTGCTATGTTGCTGTCCACAGGGGAGAAAAAGAAGTAAAAGGGCCGAAGCGCAGATACGACCGAGTCCCATGTCGACATTCAGGAGGCCGCTGACGCAGCTCAACGCTCGTCCCGTGTGCCCCGACGGCAGCAAACATGTGAGCGCGTGTGAAGGCGTGGCATTTACTGGAGCAGAGGCTTGGAGTCTAACTGTCTCGTCACCTGATGGAAATCTTCTAACCCGCAGGAGGAATTTATTCGTCGGATCCTCTCCAAGCCGTTTAAAGTTCCCATCCCGAATTACACAGGTGAGGTTTTGACCGCCGCAACTTTGCAGTTCTCAACGTATCTGACCAATCGAAAGAGCTTTGAGGCTGTATGTGACATCAAAGCTTTTGCGACCAAGTAGTAAAAAGCTTGATTTATAATTGTTTATTTGTAACATGACTTTTGACCCCTTAAACAGTGGGAGAAACTTATATTAAGTGTTGTCATTGCCACAACGCTCATCAAATTAGAATGGAACGACCCTCAAATTCAAATTGAAATTCAATCGCGGCGACGCGAACGGCTGTTTTTTTTTTCCCCCCCCTTTTGTTATCGGTTCCCTTTGTTGTCGTTTTGTCTTCCGCAGGGACAAAATTCCCAGGCGAGCCCTTCACGACCCGTTTGCCGCCGACGCCCTGGTTCTGTTTGAGCCCGCGACGCTGAGCGCCCACGAGCAGCTCAAAACGGACAAGTAGGAGCACTGACGTTTCGACAGTGAACGGCTGTTTTTTTTCCCCCTTTTGTTATCGGTTCCCTATGTTGTCGTTTTGTCTTCCGCAGGGACAAAATTCCCGTCCACGTGGTAGTGGATCCCGTCTTGGGGAAGGTGCTCAGACCTCACCAGAGAGAGGTAAACCTCATTTCAGGATTATTTGATCCAGTCTTAAACCTGGCAGGAAATTTACACGCGTGATGCCCATGTCAACTCGGGCCCTACTCGTGTCACCCTCGGGGTTCCAGGGCGTCAAGTTCCTGTGGGACTGCGTGACGGGGCGACGCATCCCGGGCTCCTTCGGCTGCATCATGGCCGACGAGATGGGCCTGGGCAAGACCCTCCAGTGCATCGCGCTGGTGTGGACGCTGCTGCGCCAGAGCGCCGACGCTAAGCCCGAGATCGACAAGGCCATCGTGGTGTCGCCCTCCAGTCTGGTGCGCAACTGGTACAACGAGGTGGCCAAGTGGCTGGGAGCGCGAGTCACCCCCGTGGCCATCGACGGAGGCTCCAAGAGTGACATCGACCGGCAGCTCGGTAAATTGCTTGCCGACCGGAATGCGCGGCAAGACCGGATCGAGACGCCGAACAACACCGCACCCTGTATCGATAAGTCGTCAAGATTCAGACGGCGCGTACATTGAGTGTGACGCGACCGCGCGTCCGTTTTCTTTCCTAGTCAACTTCATCTCCCAGCGTGGGCTGCGCGCGCCGACGCCCATCCTCATCATCTCCTACGAGACGTTCCGACTGCACGCCGAGGTTCTGCACAAAGGCCAAGTGGGGCTCATCATCTGCGACGAGGTAGTCGTACGCCGCATCCGCGTGACTCACGAGGCCGCCTCGACACGCACCGTTCCGCTCGTGCGCAGGGCCATCGGCTCAAGAACTCCGACAACCAGACGTACCAGGCTCTGAATGCCATGCGCGCCCAGAGGAGGGTGCTGATATCGGGCACGCCCATCCAGAACGACCTGCTGGAGTACTTCAGCCTGGTGCACTTTGTCAACGCCGGCATCCTGGGTAATCTCTTGGCGACGTTGCCGTGGGGGGTGATGGGGGTGTGCAGATCTTGACAGTCTGTCTTGAAGCGATTAAGAGTAGAAATATAGTTGTAGATTTATTTGCTAATCGATTCACTGTTGCACCACCACAATGGAGCAAATCACGAAGACGAGCGTGTCTTTGACGGCCCCTAAAATGGCCGCTTCAAACCGAAACGTCAGACTGGGTCTTTTCGAGCATGACTTCTTGAGACTTTTTTTGTGGGTCCACTCATGACAAGAATTTTACGTCAAAATGAGAAGTTGTCCATCTGTCTTATGTACGCGGTTCCAATTTGCTAGCAATCGGGCAGAATCTCAAGGACAAGGTCGTCTTTTAAGACAACCCGAAAATAGCTTTTTTTTTTTTTTTTTTTTAAACCAAAAATGGTCGATTTCCTGTTTGTTTTTGAGCATGGATTCTGGAGACTTTTTTGTGGGTCCACTCATGACAAGAATTTTACGTCAAAATGGGTTCAGTGTCTGAATTTAAATATTTGTGTTTTTTTTTTTTTTTCCTGAAGCATTTTACTTTTTTGTTGCACCTCATTTGCAAGCTGGTGTTGAATGAGTTGGTCTTGGGTGACGTCACCTTGTTGCGCAATTTCCGAGGCATATTATTCCTGGAAATGCAAGTTCATTTTTTGACTCGCGTTACCCAACGGCTTCTAAAACGCATTCACTCGGGCGCTTTTGTTGCCGCAATGTCAGGGACGGCTCAGGAGTTCAAGAAGCGATTCGAGCTGCCCATCCTGAAGGGTCGCGACGCAGACGCCAGCGATAACGAACGACAGGCGGGAGAGGACAAACTCAAGGAGCTCATCGGCATCGTCAACAGGTCTCTCTTTTTTTTTTTTTGCTTCTCCGCTTTGGGGTGAAAGTGGACTTGACGACACCTGTGTGTCTTCAGGTGTTTAATCAGGCGAACGTCCGACATCCTGTCCAAGTATCTGCCTGTGAAGATCGAGCAGGTGGTCTGCTGCAAGTAGGTGGAAATCGCTACAAGCGACGCTAATTTTACGACTTTCGCCGGACTTGCCTGGCTACAACTTAGGACAGTTTAACTGCACGTGAGCTCAACTCGCTAACAGCGCGAGCGTGTTTTCTCCCCGACAGGCTAACGCCGCTGCAGACGGCGCTCTACAAGCGCTTCCTGACGCAGGCCAAGCCGGTGGAGGCACTGCAGGCGGGCAACATCAGCGTCTCCTCCCTGTCGTCCATCACTTCGCTCAAGAAACTGTGCAATCGTGAGATTTTGGGGACACTCGCCTCCTGTCGTTCGGCATTTTTATTTTTTTGCTTTAACATGTTTCACAATTCTCCCAGGCATATATTCTTTATCCTCTGCAAAGTATGGCTAATTTTTTGTGAGCCAAAAATTGAGATGGGAGCGCTGCACGAGGGCAGTGAACTCAACTCCTTTCACAGCAAGCAGCAGTTTGACTGTGTCAAACTAATTGGATTTCTTTAAAACGACGACATAACTTTGCCTTGTTGTCTGCTGGCTTAATGCTAACACATAATCGGAAACGGCATCGACAGGCTTATAAATAGCAGCCGTGTCACCGTTGTTAGCCTCGAAGCAGTGGATATTTGAACACAAATGTTGGAGTAACATGTTTCACAATTCTCCCAGGCGTATATTCTTTATCCTCTGCAAAGTATGGCTAATTTTACTGCGGCTTACTGAGGAGTTATGACAGTTTCCATGTATAGTGTACAACATGCTAACGCCTGTATCGTGCTGCCGCCCATTGTAATGAAGCAAAAACACATGGCCGACATTGTTCATTTTTTTTTGTTTCATTTCCTTTGTATCACAAGCGCTTTTTTTTTTTTTTTTGTACAGTAATTTCTTATAGCGTGCTAGTTTCTTGTTTCCTCGTCTTTTGCATGACCAAAGTGGTCTCAGAACAAGTTGAACTCTTATTTCAAGGCAGGACTCGGCTATGAGACATTGAGATGTGGCTTTTCCCCTAACATGTCGGCTCTCGTTGCGTGTCAGACCCAGCGCTCATCCATGAGAAATGCATGCAGGGCGAGGAAGGTTTCCAAGGCACTTTGGATCTTTTCCCCAATGGCTACTCCGTTAAAAATGTGGAGCCGCAACTGTCAGGTAAGAAGACGCCGGAGCGAGCGTCGTCACGGGTAATGCGATGCGCTTCCTTTCACACCAGGCAAAATGTTGGTCCTGGACTTGATCTTGGCCATGACGAGGTCCAGCACCAGCGACAAGGTGGTGCTGGTCTCCAACTACACGCAAACGTTGGATATCTTTGAGAAGCTGTGCCACTGCAGAAGGTACCCTTACGTCCGCCTGGACGGCACCATGTCCATCAAGAAGAGGGCCAAGATTGTGGAGAGATTCAACAGTCCGGAGGTATGTCATCAAATTGCATGCATCTAGCATATGTACACCATCATTAACCCGATGCTCCATAACTGTATTCACGAGTTGGATTTTCAATTCAACCGTGTTTTTGCTTCAGAACCCCGAGTTCATCTTCATGCTGAGCAGCAAGGCGGGCGGCTGCGGCCTGAACCTGATCGGCGCCAACCGCCTGGTGATGTTCGACCCCGACTGGAACCCGGCCAACGACGAGCAGGCCATGGCTCGGGTGTGGCGGGATGGCCAGAAGAAGACGTGCTACATCTACAGGCTGCTGTCGGTGAGTTGGCGACGCGCCGACGGGCGTCTCAAGATTCACTTGTTTTTTGTTTTTTTTGTTTTTTTTTGAGTGATCCCTCCTGTGCGCACGCAGACGGGCACCATTGAGGAGAAGATCCTGCAGAGGCAGGCGCACAAGAAGGCGCTGAGCAGCTGCGTGGTGGACGAGGAGCAGGACGTGGAGCGACACTTCTCGCTCGGGGAGCTCCGCGAGCTCTTTGCGCTTAACGGCGAGACGGCCAGCGACACGCACGACAAGTAAGAAATTGCTTTTCTGCTTCCTATGCAAGCGTGCGAGGATGTATTTTCGAGCTTTGGCGACATCAAAACGATGAGGCGAAGCTACCTACATCACAATCAGAGCAGCTACACATGCGTGACTTGAAGTGACCCCGCAGGTTCCGCTGCCGGCGCTGCGTCAACGGCATCCAAGCGCGGCCGCCGGCGCCCGAGTCGGACTGCACTAGCGACCTGTCCCAATGGCACCACTGCTGGGACAAGAAGGGCCTGAGGGACCAAGTGCTGAAGGCCTGCTGGGACGCCGCTGCCGTCTCCTTTGTCTTCCACCAGCGTTCCCACGAGGACCAGAGGGGCATTGTTTGACACATATTTATTTCTGCTTGTCAGTTTTTTTGTGTTTGTTTGTTTGTTTTAATCCAAAAAATAAAGTCCATTTTTCTTCCCACATACATTTAAACGGCAGTGATTCTATGATACAAACTTGTCCCAGTTCAATTGAAACTATCATACCAATACTTAATCTGATTCATTTTGGCTCCTTCTGGTTTTGGGTTCTATTCCCTGCTTGTATACGTTCATTTGTGTTTGTTGTTTTCACGATAGGAAAAAAAAGCAAAAATAAACCATTCATGGCAATTAGAAAGAGCCAAAATTACACTGGTTAACCCATTTTTATTATCCTTTTTTTTTAACCAGCGATGCAGATAAACTTTTCTAGATGAATTTTCTCGCGCTGATTCTGAATATTAAGAACCAAAATGAAAATATCTGTACATGAAAAAAGTAGACATTTCGATGCAAACCGTTAGCACGCCGATGGTTAGCATCAGGCTAAAGAACTGATTCTTGTGACGCAGTTAGGTCATTGTTTGAAATTTCTTTGTGAGGGTAAACTTCAGTCAGGAATGGCAATAAAATGTTTGAAGCCTCACGAAGATGCGGCGACCCGCTTAAAGGATACATGACGTCGTGAGTCAAAACAGTCGCTTGTAATCTTTTATTAAAGCAAAACGTCTGGTACACGTTCAGTCTCGACAGGAAATGACAGTGACACAGACAACACGAAACTTGCCCACTCTTCCTTCCTTCTTTCTCATCATCTTGACACAAAAAGACCCCCATCCCAATACAAAAAGAACTTGGGTTTTCTCAAGCCGGTTCGGTGTCAGTGTGCGTGCATGCTGATTGGCCTCTTAGCCGGTCTTAGCCACGCCCACAAGGACGCCTTTAAATCAGACTCGTAAACTCCCATCAACGTGAGGAAACTTACCCAAAGTCTTTAAAAGCTCGTTTGTCTCACATTAACGTTTACAGCAGTTTCTCTATACGTCGTTTTTCTTGCTTTCTTTTTTTTTTTACAGTCTGTACACGCTTAATGTACATCACCAACAACCAATCTCTCTCTCTCACACACACACACGTACTCGCCTTGAACACGCGTACAACACGTCAAGAAGGCATCAAATAAATAAGAAATAAATTACAGGTTAAAAAAAGAGCAGTTAAAAAAACATGTTGAGTCAGTTGGCATCTCAAACCATTCAATCCTCATGAAGGTATTTTAAGAGGATTTTAAAGTGTTTGAATACAGTGACACCTTGAGATGTCCATCATATTGTATTTTATGAAAACCAAGTGTGATAGCAAAATAAATTAGGTGTTTGATGAGTTCTTTCTCGTGTGCAAATTGGCCACTGGGTGGGGTGGGGTGGGGGTAGTATAACACTGTCATCCAGACACAAAGAAGACTTTTACTATGACCAGAAATGACTCGGTAAGCTGTAGCAATAATTTGTTGCAGAGGATAAAGAATTTATACCTTTATGTATTATAGTTTTGGTAGTCCGTCTCTCATGGTGGTTGATTTAAATACATGATGTGTAATTCTGTCATTCTTGTTCGCTTTTTATGAAACGTGTTGATGCCGATACAGCGGCCAAGATGTCGACTTTCTGCTTGGAAAAAGAATGTCTACATGACAGATCGTGTCTGTAAAAAGTTGGCTCACTTGTATCTCAAGGTGCCAGTGTACCTTCAAACTGGAATTGATCCCACCGTGAATGATTCCGCGGTCGTCAGGTGCAACACGTCAAGAAGGCATCAAATAAATAAGAAATAAATTACAGGTTAAAAAAAGAGCAGTTAAAAAAACATGTTGAGTCAGTTGGCATCTCAAATCATTCAATCCTCATTAAGGTATTTTAAGAGGATTTTAAAGTGTTTGAATACAGTGACACCTTGAGATGTCCATCATATTGTATTTTATGAAAACCAAGTGTGATAGCAAAATAAATTAGGTGTTTGATGAGTTCCTTCTCGTGTGCAAATTGGCCACTGGGTGGGGTGGGGGGGTAGTATAACACTGTCATTGAGACACAAAGAAGACTTTTACTATGACCAGAAATGACTCGGTAAGCTGTAGCAATAATTTGTTGCAGAGGATAAAGAATTTATACCTTTATGTATTATAGTTTTGGTAGTCCGTCTCTCATGGTGGTTGATTTAAATACATGACGTGTAATTCTGTCATTCTTGTTCGCTTTTTATGAAACGTGTTGATGCCGATACAGCGGCCAAGATGTCGACTTTCTGCTTGGAAAAAGAATGTCTACATGACAGATCGTGTCTGTAAAAAGTTGGCTCACTTGTATCTCAAGGTGCCAGTGTACCTTCAAACTGGAATTGATCCCACCGTGAATGATTCCGCGGTCGTCAGGTGCTGAAAGTCGCTTCCAGCACGAAGAGGCCAGAAGAAGTGAGTGTCGGGTGTGAACCTACACTACCCTTTCCCACAGACGGCATCCCACCTCCAAAGCTGGAAACGTTCCATCTCAAACCCGTGAAAGTGTCGGCACTTGCGGCGCTGCGTGAAAGGGGCTTGGACGTTGCAGTGTTGCCTTTTTTTTTTTTTTTTGAGAAGCACATTTGTGTTAAATGGTGTGAAACGAGTAAACCAAAAGACACATTCACAAATCAGTGGCGAGTCGCGGTGGTGACAGGAAGTCACATGACCCGACGGCATCAAAGGGGGGCGTCCTGGTCCTGCTCTGTGAAGGCATACGGAAAGACCTTTCAAGCATTTGCTCCATAGCCTTCATACCCAGCTCCAACACGATTCACTTCATGTGTTACTTCTACGAGTGCACCCTAGTTGGTCTAACTCGTGTGCCAAAATTTTCATACAGTAGCTAGCGGAAGGCAGTTGTAAAAATGTCACTACACTGTAAAAAAAAAATAAAAAATCTTCGTTGTGAAATGAGGGAAGGACGATTTTCACAACAGCAAAACTTAGTTGAACTTCTTGACTTCAAATTTGAATTTTAAGTTTGTTGCCTTGAAATTTTCAGTTATTCCAACGTTTTTTTTCTTTTTTTCCAGTGTAGTAGTAAGGTATACTTGTTCTACTTGTGGTCCCTAGTAATTCTACTCATCTGATGTCGTGACAATTCAGCACACTGGTAGGATAGCAAATGAATGCTCAACTTTTCATGATAAAAATTGTAAATGCAATTCTTAAAAATTCTACTCGTTAACATGTTGCACTTCACTAGTAGTAGGAGGCTGACGTCAAGCAGTGCACAGCATTGCCTCCCTCCTGATATGTAGTTGTCCTACTAGTACACCAAAGTCGCTGTACTGCAGAATTGATAAGAGAAGTGAGAAAAAAAATGCCACTAGTGAGACGGTCGGTACGTGTGTTGTTCAACTAGCGCATTATAGTAGTGCACAGAAATGTCATTCGAGAGTGGAAAAAATGTCACGAGCGAGACATGATTTTTCGACTGTGCAAAAAAATGTCATGCGGGGGAGTGGGCAAAACGTCACTGAGTCCAATCGACTCGTGCTACTAGTGCGCTGAATTGTCTTGCTCGTGAGGACAAAGCACACACTAGCGCATGGACATGAAGGAAGTGGAGAAAATACTGGAGGGGATTTCCATCAAGGCACGCGGAGTACCGCAAGGGTGTGGGCTATGCCGCCTTCTTGTTGTTTTTTGTGGGGTGGAAGGGGGGGGGGGGGGTCGGGGGTTATAGGATGGCGTCCATGAAGCCGGTGTCCAGCGAGTGGATGAGCAGCCTGATGAAGGACATCTCCTTGCGGGTGTTCTCGAAGATGACGCGCGGGTCGTCCGACTGGCAGCGCAGGCAGTTGGGCGCCATCACCATGGCCAGGTTGTTCACGTCCATCTTAGTCACCGACACGTTGGACGGCTGCGCGAACACCTGCGGCGCCGTGGCAGCATGTCAGGGCCCAATGGATGACGGTCAGTTTTGCAGCAAATTCCCCCCCCCCCCCCCCTTGCTGATTGATTTTTTTTCCCAGACTCGATATGACAACTTTATCATGAAAAAAATACTTTGGCAAATTACAATGACTGCCCCTCGTTTTCTTTTTTTTACTACCGTACTGCATGATGAGAAAAAACGTTTTTTCTCAAACTTTGATCCGCCACCCTCCATGCTGACAATCTGCGATGGCGTGCGTACGCGTACCTGCAGGAAGCGTATGAGGTAGCAGAGCACCAGTTTGTTGATGTGCGGCAGTCCCAGCACCACTTGGACGGCGGCTTCGGCGTTGTCGTAGTTCTTGACACACTCGTCGTAGAACTCGTGCGGAATGAGCGGCTCCTCCAGCTCGCGGTACCAAAACTTCAGCAGTGACGCTGAATGTGTGTGCGCACACATATGCACATGTTATTCAAACTAAATGAAAATATAGCAGAAATGTCCTTATTTGACTTTGTCGGGTATGAACAAATAAAACTCGTGAAACTGAAATTAAAACTGACCGTTCGAAAAAAGTGAGCAAAACTGCTCTAAAAACGAATGAAAACCAATTGAATTCAAACATGCACTGATAAAAAAAAAAAAACTAAAACTAATACTAAAACCAATGAAAACGAAACTAAAACCAAACAGGAAAAAAAACCTCGCAAATCTGCTCTGAAAACTAATTAAAACAAACTAAATTCATACATGCAAAAATAAAAAATAAAATATTAAAACTAATGAAAACGAAAATAAACTAAGCACACAAAAACTAGCAAACCAACTGAATTAAAACATGCGCTAATAAAAAAACTAAAACTAATATGAAAATGAAACTAGAACTAAGCACAAAAAAAAGGGGCAAACCTGCTCTAAAAATGAATGAAAACGAACTGGATTTGAAAACCAAATGTCAAGAATCAATAAAGAGTAATAAAGAGTAAAAACGGTTAAAAATAATGCCAAACTTTGTTTTTTTCAGGACCCACTTTGCCGAGGTGGCGGACATGAGCGCTGACCTGGAATGTGAGGGTCTTCCAGTCCTGTGGGGATCTTCCATTGGTCCACTTGCAGCTTGAGAGCGTTCACCTCGTCGATGTCTCCCGGAACCCTGGGGATGCAAGTGCAACGTGGCTTTTTTTTTCCCCCCCAATTTCTTATTTTACATGAAAAAAGCTGAGCGGTGGAGTGTAGTACATCTGTCTTGGATTGGTGCATCGATACAGAAACGGGGATCCTGACCTGAAGATGCCCTCCGTCTGGTCCCCGTTGAGGCCCAGGACCTCCTCGGACAGGCGGGTCTGGACCCAGGGCAGTTGGTGGTCCGGGTAGCGTTCCCTCTGCAGGGCCATGACCTCCTCCAGGGAAGAGCCGAACATGGACGGGCTGAAGATGGCGTTGCGGGCGTGCTGGATCTCCTCCAAGCACGGCTTCTGAAGACCCTGAGGAAGAACGTCAACACGCGTGACCGGACCGGACCGGACTGCATGGGACCTGATGGTGATCGGTGGTACCTTCTTGGCCCCGGTCAGCGCCGCCTTGGTGAGCTTCCTGTAGCAATGTTTAGCGTAGCTGCTTATAGCCACTCCTGAACAGAATAACACGCACCCCCCCCACCCCCATTAAAAAACATTGAAGGTGGCTTATTTTTACTAACTTCAAACAAACCATTCAGATTCATACTGGGAGCTGAATATTTAGACCCTCGTGTAGTAAAATAGGGTGGGACACTTGTGATGGCACGAGCGTACCCTTGGTGTCATTGAGGGGGTCCATGTGTCTGCAGATGTAACCCTCCAGGTAGGCGTGGAAGCGCGGCGTGGGCGGGAAGAAGGCCAGGCAGATGGCCATCAGCTCCCAGCCGCGCTCCAGGCTGTCGTAGCGGAAGTTCTCCGTGGTCTGCCGGCACAGCTGGATGTACAGCTCGTCGCGGAGGCCCTGGTTGCTCCACCCACGGACCACTACCTGGAGGGGGGGGGAGACAAGCGCAAGTCGCAAATATTTAAGCAAGTCCCAAGGCATAAATCCCATCAACTTTCTTTTAAATCACATCAACTCTTGTCAATATGGTTTACCCGTGGATGGCAGCAATACGCTGAGAAGTGTAAAAAAAAAAAAAACTCTCAAAAAAGATAGCTTTATTAAAAAAAAAGAAAAAAAGTAGCTTTTGTTTAGAAACGGAAAAAAGGGAGCTTTGTTTTGAAAAATTTGATCGGTTCAATTTGCTTGAAAAATGTGCTTAAACCTCAAATGTTTTGAGTGGCTAAAAGAAAGCAATGACAATCGTAACGATGACACACAATCTGCATGCTGACGTGGTAACTTCTGTTTGCACATCCCAACCACGCCTGCAGAGGTCACTGCCGCCTCGCATTATTTGTACGAAAAGTCCCCTCGTCTTTTTTGGCATCGTGTTTGTAAATTAAAAGTCATCACTAGATTTACTTCTGAAAAATGCAATGAAAGTCCTTTAGCTTAATGCTAACATAAAACCCCTTCGACAGGCCAATGGTAACGAGCATCGATATTATGGAAGTCGTTGGGGCCGCTTTTTGGCAGCCGTACCTCCAGGGCTACGCAGAGGGGGTCGACTTTGGCGCGGCGGTCCCCCATGTAGGTCTGGATGAGCTTGAAGATGTCCACCGCCTCCTTTTTGACGCTGCGGTCCGACGTGACGATCATGGGCTTCTTGATGGGCTCGCTGCTCCATGCCAGCATGTTGGCGATGGACACCTTCCTCCTGAATAGACCCTGCCCACGCGCACAAACACACATTGTTCTTATTATGGACGGATAAAAGACAGTTCGGCGCACTGCTTTCTTATTATGACGTTATGAGTGGAAAATGAGCGTTAAAAGGAGCCCCTGTGCACCTGTGTGTGTTTGTTGAAGTGCTTGGACGCCCAGTTCTCGATGTCGGTCTCGGAGGACGGTTTCCTCAGGGTGAATTCCGGGAAAACGCCGCAGCTGGCGCTCGGCATCATGTTCCTGGCATTGCGACTGGCCTCAAACTGGGCGCAGGCTCCCAGGTCCTCCGACTGAGATGGAAAGAAGTGAAACGTGAATGGCGGAAATCTTCCAACGGGTATCCGTCAGGTCCTGGAGGCTGCTAACCGAGGACAAATACTATTCTCGCAACCAGAGGCTTTGCGTCCAGAGACTTGAAGCGAGATGAAATGTTTTCATGATCTTGAAGCTTTATTTCCATCCATCCATTTTCTAATCTGCTTCTCCTCACGAAGGTCGCGGGGGCGTGCCGGAACCTATCCCAGCCGTCTTTGGGCAGTAGGCGGGGGAAACCCTAAACTGGTTGCCAGACAATCGCAGGGCGCTCGCATACACACCAAGGGACAGTTTAAGAGTGTTCCATGAACCTACCATGCATGTTTTTGGACTTTGGGAGGAAACCGGAACACCCGGAGAAAACCCACGCGGGCACAAGGAGAACACGCAAACTGCACTCAGGAAGGCCGGAGCCGGAATCGAACCCTGCACCTCTGCACTGTGAGGCGGACGTGCTAAACCCTCATTAGCTGCCCGCGACCCTCGTGAGGATCAGCGGATGAGAAAACGGATGGATGGATGGTTGGTTACCTGTGAGGGATGGAGATACGTCTCGGGCGAAGCCAGGCTGGTCTGCATGGAGAGACTTTTCTCCAGCAGGACCTGAGGGAATCCAAGGCGCTCGAAGGTGCTTCTCTTCCAGAGGTGTCCGTCGCTCTGCGCCAGGGCCTCGTCCTCGCTGAAGGCCCTCACCACCGGCCCCGGCAGCGGGGTCGGCACGGCGCCGTCGCTTTCGTAGCCGTCCTTGGAGCTCTGCGCGCCGCCGCCCTGGCCCGAGTCCCAGCTGCTGCGCTGCTTCATCACCTGCTGCGCCTCCCACGCCAGCCGGGCCTGCGCCAGCATGGCCTCCGACGCCGTGCCGCCAAAGTCGCCGTCGGGGGCGCCGCAGCGGGCCAGCTCCTGCGGGAGCGACGGCTTGCGGCTCTTGCGTTTGCGGTTGCCGCCGGGAGAGAAGGGCCCGGCGGTGGACGAGGACAGAGAGTGAGTCTGACTCGACGACCAGGATATGGAGTCCTCGTAGAGCAGCCTCTGACCCCCCTCGCCGCCCTCGCCGCTGTAGTCAAGCAACAGGCGGGGGTCCCTTATCAGAGACTGGCTGTGCTGCAGCGTGTAGGAGCCCCCGTAGGAGCCGCCGTAGCCGCCCGCGGTGCCGTAACGCAGCAGCCGGTCGGCCGTCTTGAAGCGAGGGCTGGAGGACGACTGCTCCACGTACACCAGCTGCTTGACATACTCCTTCCCCACAGGGCTGTACTCCAGGCTCTGCGTCTTCTCCGGACACTTCTGCCGGGTCAGAACCAGCTGGCCATAAGGGGACTGCTTGGGGGAGTGGTAGAGGGGCACGGAGGTCTTGCGAGCGGGCGACTTCCCGGTGCCGTAGAAGGAGGAGTCGGACAGGTGAACGTCGGAGGGCGGCTCCTCGTAGATGGGCGGCGGCTGGTACTCGGAGGGCGGCTCCTCGTAGAGCGGCGGCTCGTAGGCGTAGCGGGGGGACGACGGCTGCGAGTCGGCCGAGGAGCGCCGCTGGGAACCGCCCAGCTCGGCGCGCTTCAAGAAGGGAGAATGCCGGCGCTCCGGGTACGGGCCGGGGGAGCCGTCGGGTTCGGAGGAGGGCGCCGGGTTACCGCCCCCGGAGGAACGGCGGCTTCGCGCCGCCGTGCCCCCGCCTGAGAGCGCCCCCGGCGTGGGCGGGTCGCACGGGGAGTAACCGTTACCTTGGTGGGACAGGAAGCTAGGCTCGCGGTCCGTCACCTTGATCAGCATGCGCTCCTTCGTGCCCGTGTTCCACCGGAACGGGGATGTCCTGAGGAGGAGGCCGGGAACGGGGACGAGGGGACAGGAGACGGGGATTAAGGCAGACGGCAGTATGAGGTCATGAGATGAAGAGGAGTGGAAATGAGGTGGACATCAGGAAAGCAGACAAGAAAGGAGAAGAGCGAGCGGAGAGAAAGGTGAAAGGAGGAGGAAAGGAGACCCGAGTGAGGAAACCAAAACACAACGGAAGGAGACAAAAGGCAAAAGCAGAAGATGAAATGTGAATTCAAGACGATCATTAAGAGAATGAAAGCTTGCGAGTGTTTAATTAGCCCAAGTTCATCGAGTGCACGGCGAGGCTTTAATCGGGCCAGAATTTCATTTGGCACCGAGCGAGCGCGCCAGCGAGCGGGCAAATTGCTCGCTCGGCATTTCGTCTCTTTCATCCCACACCGCCGACGACCGGAGGAGGACCCGAGTGTGAAATTGATTGGTCACCTGGCGCTTTCACGCCCCGGGGGAGAGCGGGCGCTGAATGGTCGCTGAATGGCGCGAGCGTGAGAATGTGACAACAAAGACGAGAAGGCCTCAACAGCGCTTCCGGTCTTTTGAAGAGCCAACACAACATCTTCAGAGCCTCGACAGGCCTTTGAGGAAACAAACGTTCCGCTTCTTCTAATTAGTCTTTGAGCACGTTTGTGAGGTTTTATGAGTTTGTTTGTTTTTGTGAAAATGCTTTGTTTTACAGTAGTTTAGTATTTCTTAATAACCTACATTAGGGTTTTTTTTTTCCCCCAAATATGTGGAGGATTTGTTGAGTGGAAAAAAACAAAAAGGTTACAAAGAATTGTGTAATTAAGTAAACGACAGCTCTTGTACAACTGACCTGAGTTGCTTTGTTGCTGGAGATCGACCGCAAGACCGAAATAAACCCCCCAAAAATGAATGCTGAAAAATCATTTATGATACTGACAAAAACTTGATGTCATTTTCACCATAATTATCGGTGGTTTTAGTTTGTTTTACAAACCTAAGATGCAGTTTCAGTAAGTTTTCATTTTTTTAAAGCGTTTTCGTCTTGACTAGTTCAGTTGGAAGAAAATCTTTTTTCAATGTGAGTTTTTGTGAATTACAATAGCCTCGGAGTGAACCTGTTGGCGGCGAGGTTAGCTTGGTTAGCCGGTTAGCCTAAGCGCACCGGTCCCCTCACTCACCGCTCGGCTTCATCTTTCCCGGCCTGCTTGTCCGTCCCTTCCTGGTCCAGGGAGGACGAAGTGCTCCCATCCCGGCTGACCCCGCTGTTGCGTCCCGGACTGTTGTCGGCTGACGCTCCTCCTCCGGCGGCGGCAGAGGCGGCGTGGCGGGGGCTGGCGGCGTCGGTGTGCTGCTTGAGCGTCTGCAGTTTAGCCAGCGGGATGATGTCGCAGCCTTGCGGGCGGTGCCAGACGGTGCGCTGCGTGGAAGCGTTGTAGTAGTAGAAGCGCGAAGTGTTGGGGTCAAAGAGCTCCCACCACTGGTTGTCACCGGTGCGCTTGATGCGCACACCCGGCGGCGGGTCCCACACGCACTCGCCCGTCAGCAGGTTGGCGTACATGCGCTCGCGCGTACGCGGCTCGATGATCTCCACCCACTCCAACCTGGCGGCACATGAATGGCGAGCCTCGGTCAGCAAAGGTCAGTGAACGTGCGGTTATGCTCCTCTCATCCATGTACATCGAAATACTGCAAACCTTCCTCCGTCGTGACAGTAGCACAATATTATGAAGAGTGAAAACAAAAAGTTTTTCAAGGCTGGCCTAGTTTTTGCTGAATATTCTAGGTGACAAATCCTCTACAATCCTGTTTTCTATGCCGACAGAAGGTGACAACTGTAATTTGACTTTATAATGTACATCTTGGGGCAAGGTTATTAATGTATATTGGCCAACGATAAATTCAGATTGTTCATAAGGAAAAAATGATTTTGTTTCGTGTAAACACCTTGAGGGATTCGCACGATGGTTGTGTAATATTTTTGAATTATCCATCACTCTTTCTCTCTTTGTTTTTAAATGTGTTTGTATGACTAAATATGTTTTATAAGGGCTTCAAAAAAAATCTAATGCTGTAAATGCCCACTCGTGCACTTGGCTATCAAGCTATTCCTATACCACGAAAATGTGTCTTCCCTTCGGGTAGCCCACTGGCTCAGGTGCTTCAGAGTGCCTCGTTGTGGGCTCTGAGAAAACGCACGTCACGGAGAGAGGGTGGAAGAGCAACGTAAAGAAAAAATTAAAGTCAACACCACACTGTGACAGCCAGCAACTGGAACATAAGACTGTTTTTCTCTCTTTTTTTTTTTTTTTTACACTGCATCAGGAGATCCAACATTTTATTTGGTCACACAACTGTTCAACTTCCCACTATCCGTTTACACACATATGTTTCTGTGGCACATAAGTCAGGAGGCAGGAAATTCCTGGCTCGACGTCAGCTGCCCATTCGGAATGGGGCACGGTTTTGCAAGCGCTTTGTGCGAAAGTGGCAACGCTGCATATTTCGATCGGCGTGTGTCGTAACACGGATGAGACTGATGAACAATTTCCCTGACGATCACCAAGAAAACGGACATTTAGCGCATGTTTGTGCACGGACGATGTCACGGTGCCGCCGTGTCAAATGGAGCAGAACGGGGGCCGTTAAGTAGAAATCCGCCGGGGCAACGGAAGGATTAATTGGCCATAATTGCTTCATGCCTCTGCGTTCCAAATGACCCACTTTAAGCCGACGACGCGGGATGAAATATTCACGAGCGACCAACCGATGATTGACACGGTAACCCCTTTCATAAGCCGCCATTTTTCAAACTTTTTCTCCCCGCCACGTGTTCATTTTCCCCATGTCACTATTCTGCATAAAACGCAAAGACACTGAATTAATTTTCCCACTTTTGAGCTCCCATCAGAGACAGTGGGACGGGGATGATGTCGGTCAATGGGAAATGCGGGTATTGGCAAGAACGGGGGGGTGGAAAGTGTGAGCTAGCGTCTGTCGCGCTAACGCTAGTAGGCAAGGTCAGTCAGGGCGGTTAAAAGGTCGCCACGTGTTTGTCGCCGCGCGCCCAGCTGATGGCTGCGGGGCGTCGGCCATCTTGCTGTCACTCGCCGCGCTCGTGACATCACACAATCTCCACACGCTGACGAGCTCGTGTTCGAGAATTTACCGTTTGACGAGGAGCATAGCGTGAAAAGATGAAAGATCGCAACCACAGTTGTGTCTTGTGTTTCTGAGTATCGGGTGACGCTTTTTGGTTACGCGTGTGTCATGTGACAATGAGCTGTTTTATTACGGTGTCATTTTTGTGAAGTGAGCCTCCCAAGCGCCTCCAAAGAGCCTCGAAAACTTTACGTACACTGCATCAGGAGATCCAACATTTTATTTGGTCACACAACTGTTCAACTTCCCACTATCCGTTTACACACATATGTTTCTGTGGCACATAAGTCAGGAGGCAGGAAATTCCTGGCTCGACGTCAGCTGCCCATTCGGAATGGGGCACGGTTTTGCAAGCGCTTTGTGCGAAAGTGGCAACGCTGCATATTTCGATCGGCGTGTGTCGTAACACGGATGAGACTGATGAACAATTTCCCTGACGATCACCAAGAAAACGGACATTTAGCGCATGTTTGTGCACGGACGATGTCACGGTGCCGCCGTGTCAAATGGAGCAGAACGGGGGCCGTTAAGTAGAAATCCGCCGGGGCAACGGAAGGATTAATTGGCCATAATTGCTTCATGCCTCTGCGTTCCAAATGACCCACTTTAAGCCGACGACGCGGGATGAAATATTCACGAGCGACCAACCGATGATTGACACGGTAACCCCTTTCATAAGCCGCCATTTTTCAAACTTTTTCTCCCCGCCACGTGTTCATTTTCCCCATGTCACTATTCTGCATAAAACGCAAAGACACTGAATTAATTTTCCCACTTTTGAGCTCCCATCAGAGACAGTGGGACGGGGATGATGTCGGTCAATGGGAAATGCGGGTATTGGCAAGAACGGGGGGGTGGAAAGTGTGAGCTAGCGTCTGTCGCGCTAACGCTAGTAGGCAAGGTCAGTCAGGGCGGTTAAAAGGTCGCCACGTGTTTGTCGCCGCGCGCCCAGCTGATGGCTGCGGGGCGTCGGCCATCTTGCTGTCACTCGCCGCGCTCGTGACATCACACAATCTCCACACGCTGACGAGCTCGTGTTCGAGAATTTACCGTTTGACGAGGAGCATAGCGTGAAAAGATGAAAGATCGCAACCACAGTTGTGTCTTGTGTTTCTGAGTATCGGGTGACGCTTTTTGGTTACGCGTGTGTCATGTGACAATGAGCTGTTTTATTACGGTGTCATTTTTGTGAAGTGAGCCTCCCAAGCGCCTCCAAAGAGCCTCGAAAACTTTACGGGCCAACAGCTTCTCGTGTCCCGTGACAGCGTCTGGCAACACGTCCTCGCAAACGGCTTCGTGCACCCCCCGAATGCGACATTGCTTTTGCTTATTTCGCATTCCCGTGCGTGTCTTTCAATTTGTCTTTGCTGGCTTTCAAGTGCTCGTCGCTCGGTTCTGCTCGGCTAAGCAAATCCACCCGATTGTCATCCAGATTAAACACAGAAGATGTTTCAAATTAGACTGAACACGGCGACCTCTACGGAATTTGATTAGATTTTTTTCAACAGTTTCCTGGTATGTCTACATGCTCCAGTTTATTGTATCTCCGCAAAATGTTCGTATTAATGAGGTATCTTTCATTACAGAGATTGAACGGTATCTTGTAATTTACGACTCTCAATAAATTGACTAAAAATACTGCAAAATCTTTTCAAGTTTCCAGTTTAAATACTACACAAGTGACAAATTTGTAAAATACAACGTTTGACATGGCTTCAATCAACTTTGAAAAACTGAAGGGATGACTTCTATCAACGAATGAAGGAATTGATTCTTAAAATCGTGAGTTGCAAGCCGACGCTCCACGTCAGGACGCGGCGCTAAGAGGAAAGAGGAGAAAGAAGAAGGAGAATTTTGGTGCGAGTTATTCCGAGGAGGGGCGGCGAGCTCCTCCCCCGCCATCTGCCGCGTCCCAGCATTCCACTCATTCTGTCGCAGTCGCTCAAAGCCAAGCGCAGCATCGCCTCTCAGTGGATTCCTGCGTCATTCCCGGTGAGCTTCCCCCGGGTCAACTGGGCCCTTCCCAACACAAAGAAAAGCCTGCTGCCTCCGGCACCCCCGGAAAAAATATTGGAGGTGCCAGTCGGGCCCCCCTGCCGCGCGCCGCACAACACGGCCGCAAAGGCTTTTGTGCCACCTCGTCATTGCGGCTCAAGCATAGCAGCTTTTCCTCCCACACACCGGCAGGCGCTGCTTTTAATGACGAATTATAAAGCGCTGCTTTTATTCAAGCCATTTAAGTCTTGTTGAGTCCTGCGCAACACGCGATTGCGCTTTTAAGTGGAGCTTTTTCTTTAGATTTTTTTTGGGGTGACAGTACTCCCAAAAAGAAATTGTAGTATAGATGCCAGGCATACAAAACTGCAGCTATCGAATATTTTTAGAACAGTTTACTGTAGTGATCGTCCAATTAATTATTCGAGTAATTGGATAGAAAATGATTTTATTTTGATTTATTAAACAATACCAATACGGAATGGGGGAGGTTGCAGGGTTCAACTCGGGCTGGAAAGTGTAAGTGGCCAAGCTGCAAGGGTTGCAGCAGACTGACGTTGTTTTCTATTTCACGCTCCATGACGCACATAACTATTTGGTGACAGAAAGTAGACTAGAATTTAAACCGGCTAAAGACAGGTCTAAGTTGTGGCGCGGGTGACGTGATGCGATTTTGGCGGATTTGATGGCGACGTAGGCAGTCTAGATTCTGAGCTCCGCAGGCTTATGGATGTCATTGAATTTCCACATTGGTCAACTTTAACCTCATCCACAAGTGGATGCAGTTTCTTTAAAATGTGCTTTGCATGCTCCTGCACAGCTACGAAAATACCAAAAGAAAGAAAACTCTAACCGTGCACAAAGCTGGACTGGCCTTGTGCACGAAATTAGGGCTCTGAAAGTGTAGCTTTGGTCTCCCGTTATCCTCGACGTCCCAAATTCACTTTCCAAACGTATCAAAGTGACGCACGCGTTTGCATCCATCCAGAGTGGATGTCATGTGACACGCACACGCATCGTGACTAATAAACTATGTGTGGCTAATTAAACATTGATTGCTGCTCTGTCCATTTGCGAGCTGGCTCATGTTCAATGCATGAGCTGTTCTTTCACGACGCACGCACGGCGCGAGCTAGCCGCCGTCACGCTACGCCTGCGATTGAGTCAGCATCGGCTGATTTCGCGGCATTTGATGAGTGCGTACGATCGTCCTCATCATAAACAGTGCCGTCCTCCGCACCGGCAGCTAGAGGACACCTCGAGTGTTCGCGCGTGCCGCGCGTTAGCACATGCTAGCTCGTTTGTTGGCTCGCCAGCTATCGACTCTTCCCCTCCCACCGCCAACATGACGAGCACCGATTGTGACAGGCTGTTATCACAACCGTTTACACGCTGATAGTGGACATGCGGCGAGACTCCGCATTTGAATTCGTCCGAAAGGCGGCTT